GGAGCATGTCGTGGGTCCCCAGCCTTGTGCAGCCCTGTAGAAAGGTGTCCAGTTAAAAAGTCCAGTCGCTGAGGTTTTGGGCAAACCGCCACATAGATGTGCCCTGGAAACAGTGCTCTGGAAAGCTATCATGCTCTCAGTGGCAGAGGCCACATGCCCCAGGACACATTGTGGAGCCCATCTTGTGGGAGAGTTGTTGGCTCTAGCAGAAACACATGCCACGGTGGTTCTGTGGACTCATGTGTCAGGTGGACCCTTGCTGAGGGGCTGGTGTTTTCCCCGGGCCTCACATCCAGCCTCCACTGGGGGAGGGAGGATGTTTCCAGAGCCATTGCCAGTAGGTTAGGGATGGGGCCTGGGCATGCTGAGGCCATTCGGGACCATGCCTGCGGCATTGCTGGAAGCCTGTGTAGAAGGGGTACTTCTGGGTCCAGCCTGATTCCTCCAGAGTGGGATTGACCTGGAGTCTGTGTTTCCACAAGTCTCCCCCGTGTGGTCCGAGGCAGGCTCGTGGGGAGCCTCACCGGGGCAGTGAGGTGCGAAGAGGTGCGGGACCTCCACCCTCCCTAGGTGTGCTCTCTGCCCCCTGCCCAGCCTCAGTGAGCACCGTCCCTTTGCAGCCAAAGCGCGTCTCTACACACATCACATCTGAGTGTGGCTCTGCTGGTCCAGGGGATGTGGCGGGTGCTCCTGCGAGCTGGCTCCTGGCGGCAGCATCGCTCGCCAAAGACAATTCCCACAGGGTCCTCAGGGTAGGAGTCTAGGCCTGTGTGTTCTGAGCCCGTCAGGGCTTCCTGTGGATTTTAGGCTAGGCCTCTACCTGTGAGGAGGTTGCTCAGCGCCCATGGGGCCTACATACAGGGCGAGGTTACCTTTGCACCCAGAATCGGCTTTGGGGCCCAGAGGAATTCTGACAGCTTTGTCTTCTCTCGGGTACCTCTTCCGCTCCTCAGACAAACCCTGGAAACCCAGGAGACAGTGCCTGCTGTTGGCGCCCTAGGGCCCTGGTACCTCCTGCCTGTGGGCGTCACTGTTTACAGTGGGGCTGTAAATTCCTGGGGTCTGGGCTCCTGGGAGAGGTGCTGACCAACACACGGCTCTGCAGGCCCGTCTTGTGTCACAAATAATTTTGTTTCTATACAGATGTCCCTGCCCTCCTTTTAAAATTTAACAAAATAGTAGGTGCAGCCGGGAGATAGTGCTGCTGTTTACTGAAAGGGCGCTGAAGGCCATAGACTGGAAATGCCTGGCTCCACGGCAGTCTTCATTTTCCCTGCAGGGCAGGGTGGCTGTGGCTCCAGGAAGGACTGCTGGCCAGGGCGGGCCCAGCTCCGCTGTGAGGGGCACATGTTGTGTTGAAGCACGTCCTTGCCGACAGGCCAGGCTGGCAGACGCACGTGCTGTGACCATGGAAAGCAAACATGCCGCTCAGAAGGACAGAGCAAAAACGAATGACTGGTTTTCTCCCTGACATACAACAACTAGAACAATTTGCCCTGTGCACCCCAGACCTTGCTGCGGGCTTGGAAATATACTTAGTGTTACATATGCAGGCTGTTGTTTAATATGCAGACTCTTTGCTTTCGTGGTTTTGTCATTGGCCCTTTCCACCTGATGCATCCCAGATCTCTTTCTGTGCCAACACACACTTGTGTCCTCTCGTCCGACGACCTAGAATATTCTGTAGACAGGATGGCATAGACCAGCGTCGCCTCCACCTTGGCCAGTAGCAGTGTCAGGACTTACAGACACTAACCACATGAAATCCTCTCCCCCCAATTACATAATTATGTGACAATAATATTGTTCCATAACGTATTTCTGTCGAATTTTCAAACCCACAGTGAGTGTGTTTCCTGTGTGTTTCGAGTTGCCCAATATTGGCCAGTCTGCTTTTTTAAATTCTTCTTTGCAATTCAGATCTTCCGCCTAGACTCATTTTTCTTTTATCGGAAGTACACTTTTAGAATTCTCTGTATTGAGAATTCTGTCGTGTTTGCTGGTGGTGAAGGCTCACTCTTCGCTTGTCTAAACATGTGCTTGTTTTCTGGGGTTGGAATCTAGAGCAGCATTGCTCATCTGCTTGGGCCCTGCTGGGCTTCTTGAGCCTGAGGCTTGGTCACGATCATCAGTTTGGAAATCCTCAGCCTTTGATTCTCTGTGTCTGCCTTGTCTTTTCTCCCTTCCGTCTAGGAACCCAGTCGAACGTGGTGTTACACTTTCTCACTGAGCCGTCCTTCAGACCTGTCTTCCCATCACCATTTTTCTGTTTAGCTGTGGCTAATCTGCTCCTAAAACCATCTCTTAGCTTTTCAGTTGAATTTTGGTGTTTCTTCTAGAGGTTCTATTTCCATCTTTTATCAATCTGACGCTTTTATAGGTTCTAGTCTTTAGAGATATCTTCCAGCTTATCTTTAATTTCTTTAAAGGTTGAGCAGTTTTATACTATGACAATTACCTAGTAATTACCTAGTTTTAGTGCTCTCTGGTATCTTTGAGCAGGGCACTGTATTGTACTTGAAAATTTATGTTTAGAAATAATTTGTGAGCAAGAGTGACTTACTGCAAAGAACTCTTGTTTTTGCTCTGCAGTGCTGGAGCATGAGGTGGTCCGGCCCGCCTGTGGCTCTACAGCTTTTGCTCTGGCACCTCTTCTGGCTGCGGTGCTGGGATTCCTCAAGCGTCAGTCACTACGGGGGTTCCTGGGTGCAGCCCAGGCTGTCAGCAGAGGCCTGAGCATGCTGCAGAGGCAGTGCCCTCTAGGCAGAGCAGTGGCTTCTCCATATTGCCTGCCTTCTGCTTTGCCTGGCGGGCCCTTAATGTCCTGTCATCTTTTCTTTGCCTTTAGAAGTCAGGCCCCTACGTCTCCCCTATTTTTCTTTTTAATGTTTTTTTCTTTCTGATTTTCAGTGTGTGGGCTGATCTGAATAACGACGCCCACTGTTCCAGAAACGGGAAGCCGAGCTGGCCTCTGCCTGTCGCGGGCCTTGCCGCCTCCGGGTTTGTAGCAGATGGCCTGTGCCCTGCCCCTCACCACGAAAGAGCCTGTCCTCCAGCTGCTCGCTCACCTTTGACCACATTTTATTTTGTTTTTTCCAAAGGTGTAGGTTTTATTTAAGTGATGTTGTTGTTAATTTCTTTCTTTTTTATTATAAAGATGTGGGGTACAATTCAGGGTTAGGTATACAGATGTTGATTATGCAGGTACCCTTGTTGACAAGGTGTGCCCCTCCCTCTCCTAGCAGTTTCCCTCAACTGCCAGTCCCACCCCCCCGACAGTTTCCCACTACTGCCAATCTCTTTCTTACAGTATTAAAATAATTGTTCAAGGTCCGCTTATGAATGAAAACATATGGGACTCTGTTCTTTGTTTCTGTGATAGATCACTGAGTATGATCGACTCTAAATCCATCCAAGTTGCTGTGAAGTCCATATACTTGTCCTTCTTTATGGCTGCATAATATTCCATTGTGTATATATACCACATTTTCTTTATCCAGTCCAGCTTTGATGGGCAACATGGAACCAATCATGTCGAATAGAGCTGCGGCAAACATACGTGTGCAGTTATCTTTTTTGTAGAATGACTTGAGTTCCTCTGGGTATATTCCCAGTAGGGGAATTGCTGGGCATATAGAAGCTCAATCTCTAGCTCTTTCAGAAATCACCACACTGTCTTCCAAAGAGTTTGCGCTAGTTTGCATTTCCACCAGCAGTGTAGGAGCATTCCTTTTTGTCCGTATCCTTGCCAGCATCTGCTGTTTGTTTTATAAATGATGGCCATTCTTAGGTGGTATCTCAGTGTGGTTTTGATTTGCATTTCTCTGATGATAAGTGAGACCGAGCACTTTTTCATGTGTCTGTTGGCTGCCCATATATTCTCTTTTGAGAAGTATCTATTCATGTCTTTTGCCCACTTTTTAATGTGGCTGATTGTTTTTCTGAGTTCCTTGTAGATCCTAGATGTTAGGCCTTTGTCAGATATACAGTTGGCAAATATTTTTTCCCATTCTGTGGGTTGTCTCCCTGCTCTCTTGATGGTTTCTTTTGCTTTGCAGAAGTTTGTTAGTTTGATGAGGTCCCACTTATCTATCTTATTTCTTAAGGTGTTGGCATTTAGGGTTCTGAATAGGAACTGGTTGCCAGTTCCAATTTCCATAAGGGTGTCTTCTGCATTTTCCAAGATTCTTATAGTTTGAGGTTTTACGTTTAGGTCTTTGATCCATTTAGAGTTAATTTTTGTGTATGGTGATTGGTAGGGGTCCTGTTTCCATCTTCTGCATGTGATCTGTCGGTTTTCCCAGCACCATTTACTGAATAGGTTCTCTGCTCCCCAGTGGATGTTGTTGGATGCTTTGTCAAAGATGAGTTGGTTGAGAAATTGAGGCTTTGCTTCCGGAATCTCTATCCTGTTCCACTGGTCTATATGCCTGTTCTTGTACCAATACCAGGCTGTTTTGATTGCTGTAGCCTTATAGTAAAATTTGAAGTCTGAAAGTGTAACACCTCCTGCTTTGTTTCTTTTGCTAAGGATTGTTTTGGCTATTCGTGGTCATTTATGTTTCTACCTTCCAGGTCTGAGAAGAATGATGTTGGTAACTTAATGGGTATTGCATTGAATCTGTAGATTGCCTTTGGTAGGATGGACATCTTAACAATGTTGATTCTTCCTATCCATAAGCATGGAATATTTTTCCATTTGTTTGTGTCTTCTTGGATTTCTTTGTGCAGTGTTTTGTAGTTCTCACTGTAAAGGTCTTTCATTTCTCTGGTTAGGAAGGTGCCAAGGTGTTTCATTTTTTTGGTGGCTATTTCTTTACTGCATTTTAAATTAGGGGTGAGAACAATGCCTCTCTAAGTGACTCGGGCAAGGGGCCACACAGAGGTGAGTACACAAAAAGTGCTGTGCACATGCCGGTGCCCTTGTGAGTGACTCTGATGTGCTTGTCGTGTTGGGTGCGCAAGTGCCTTCCTCTCACCAGCATGCTCTTCTTCCCTAGGCCTGCGCTGGTGACGTGGACCTGCACACTCTCCAGGTACGTTTCTGTTTCTTTCGTTTGCCAAGATACAGCAGTGGCTTCAGTGATGATGACTCCCAGGCCCTACAGCATGGAGACTAGAGTGTGAGCAGGCTGAGAAGAGGTGATGTGGAATGTCCACCTCATTGAGGCACATAGCAACGAAGATCCATCCACACTGGCTGCACTCAGAACGCAGCATCAGGCTGCCCAGAGGTCCTATCTTGGGGTTGCCGGCGCTCCAGTTGTCTTGTGCGGAGAGCGTTGTCGTGGTGGGTGGTGTCTGTGCCTTCTGTTGCAGTCCGGTTGCGGCAGGCCACGCCTCCCTGTGGTGTGGGTGTGCTGTGGTGGCCCTGGATTACCCATCAGGGGAAGGGATGGTGTGTGAGCTTCAACTTGGTCTGGAGTGCACAACCTGGGTTCTTCAGCTCGAAGGAGAACGCTGTTGGCTGCTTTTTGCCTCATTCTGAGCTCTTCTCTACAGGTACGAGGGGACTTGCTCAGCAGAGAAAGCTTCAGGTTCAGGCGCTGCCTCGTCTTTCCACTGTGTCCTGTGTGGTCTGGTGAGGGAAGCAGGCTCTTGGATCCCGGGTAGGAGCTGTGTTCTGGCTCTGTTGCCTGCTTGTAGACAGGTTACCTGCGCTCCTGAGTCTCAGTATCCCCACCTGTATGGCTTGGGCACATGAAAAGAAAGGAAGGGACACTCAGAAACCCTTACACAGAGGGGCTGCTGGTGTCCTGGGCTCCCGCCTCACCCCACACTCGGCCCAGCCAGGGGGGGCCCTCTCTGCTGATACCTCTGTGGTGCTGAGCCCTGCTCAGGCCTGATGTCTATTCACTCTAGGTTTGTTCTGGTCCTTTTGCTCCCGGGCTCTGTCGGGAAAGGGTAGAAGTCACAGACTCTGCAGGGTGGCCCCAGGCAGTCTCCCCTTCCCAGCTTTTTGATCTCTCACCTAGGTCCTGGGGTGCAGGGTCCTCACAGGAGAATGCAGAAGCCCCTCACAGTCCTCCCTGGCGAGCCTGTTGAGGGGCGGCCGCGTATGCCCGGTCTGGAGCTTTTTATGGCTGGTTCCAGTGGCACTGCCCAGCATAGCCCTTTGTGGTCCTGATGCTGCCAGTGGCTCCCCCACCACCAGCCCTTGGTGGCCCTGGATGACATCCCTTCATAAGAACCAAGTGCCTCTGGGAGCTGCAGAGGGCTCTCCTGCTGGGCTGCCCAGCTGGCACCCTCCCCACTGGCTTTTTTTAACCGAAGTGATAATGTAACAAAGGCATAGATGGCATTTCCTTTGGAGCCCTCCACTGTTCTGGTGTTTCCTGCTCTGCCCTGCCCAGTGCCCTGTCTCCTGTGTCCAGGGCTGCTTTCTCACTGTCGCGGTCTCTCACGCCCACCCCCACCTCACCTCCAAGGAGAGGGAGACATGGGACAAGACGCAGAGACTAGGCGCAGACTAGGCTGCACCAGGATCAGGCGGTGAGCCCTCGGCCCAGACGGTGCTGACCACACGCAGACATGCTCCTGAGCGCTCTGTGTGTGTGTCACCACACAACTGTGTGACTTTCCGCAAGAGTGACAACTGTAGCCCTTTTGACAGTTGAGCTGACTGAGTCAGAGGAATACAGTCACTTGCTCCTGGGCACTTAATGGTGTGATTGAGATCTGTGCCTGGATAGTTTGAGAACCTGTACTTTTGGATGATCACTTTAAAGAAATCACCTACAGTAAAGTGTCCTCTTGTTGATGTACACCACAAAGTCCTCTAGCCGTGGAACCCCCGCTGCATGCAGCTCACGGTTCTGTCACCCCGCACCTCTGTGCCTTCCTGGTGGCTAACTCTTCCCTCCACCCTAACCTGGTGGCCATTCATCTGCATCCTCCTGTGATTCTAACTTCCAGACCATCCTGCAGACAGAATCTGTGTGTGTGGAGCATGGAGTCCAGCTTCGTCATTCCGCATCACACAGTTGAGTCCCCTGGGATTCTGCACACTGAGTGCCGCGACTTTACACTGCTGAGTAGTAGCAGGCTGTGTAAATGTACCCTGGTTTGTTTATCCACCTGCCACTGGAGTGGCATCTGAGTTCCATCTGGGTTTTGGCTCCTGCAAAACTGCTTTAACTATTTGCGTGTGGGCTTTTATGTGAGCATAGCGCCCCTTTTCTTTGGGTGAATCCCCATATGGCAGGGCTAGTTCTTAAGGCAAGTGTGTGCTGGACTTTGCCCGAGGCTGCACCGTATTTCAAAGGGCCCGTGCATTCTGCATTCCTGCCAGAGCCTCTGCTCTTAAGTCCAGCAAAAGCGCGGGTTCTTACTGAATCCCAGATTTCCTGGGGCAGAGGGACTGGCCCTTCACAAAACAAACCCTTGGTCTGTTTTGGTAGCCAATCTGGGCCAAGAGCCAGGGGTTTCTGGGACTCTCTGCTGAGTCCCGCAGGAGGGCTGCCAAGGCCAGGCTTCAGGGCCCCCTGGGAGCTCCCCCAGGCCAGAGCCTGGAGAACGTTGTGGTATTTGCAGCATTTGACTCCTGCTCCTTCAGTAGTTCCTAGAATGGCTTCAGAAGTGCAGACCCCAGCTTATCCAGGGCTGTGTGCCCGACTCTGCAGCCCCTGACCCAAGAGTGAGGATTACTGTTTTCTAAAGGCCCAAAGCATGGCAAGTGCTGCTCAGGCGGGCCTCCTGTGCAGGGCTCGCACTGCCTCCAGGGCACCTAAGTGATCATCCCTGCCTTTGGGTCCCTCCCAGCCCTGAAGTCAAGGCCCTGGCCTCTGTGGGCCCATCTGAGAGGTTCTGCCTGCCTTTGTACTGCTTTTTGTTCTCTGTTTATATTAAGTAGTTGAGAGTTTAATGTCCGTTGGGAGTTCTGCAAATTTCACTTGGCACGTTGGTCTAGTAAATGTTTTCCACACTTCTTCCTGATTGTTATTATCATTTTTAGTGGATAAATAATTATCATAGCGCTATGACAGTAGTTGACTAAAGCATTTCCCTCATGTGGACGTGGAGTTGTTCCTGAACTTTTGCTTTTGCAGATCCTTTCTATCCTGCTCTAGTTTTACAAATCATCCTAGAATGGTTCACAGGTTATTATTTTTGTTCTTATTTTATTTGTTCGTTTGTTTGTTTATTTTTCAAGTTGGAGTCTCTCTCTGTTGCCCAGGCTGGAGTGCAGTGGCACACTCATGGCCACCACAGCCTCGACCCACTGGGCTCCCGTGATCCTTCTGCCTCAGCCTTCCAAGTAGCCAGAACTACAGGCATGTGCTACCACGCCCAGCTAATTTTTTATTTATTGTAGACGAGGTCTCGCCAAGTTGCCTAACTGGTCTCGAACCTGCAGGCTCAGGCAGTCCACTTGCCTTGGCCTCCCAAAGTGCTGGGATGACAGGCTGAGCCACCAAGCCTGGCCTCAGGGGTCATTTTTACGTGCAAAAGCATTATAAACCCTTGAGGTCATGATTGTCCTCTGTGTTTCGCAGTGTGCTTGTGGGCAGGCAGCATGGTAGATGAAGCAGTGCCTGACCTTTCTTGGGCAGGGGCATGGCGACTGCCGTGGAGATCTGCCAGCGCACTGTCACTTCTACAACCTCAAGTCTGTCCCTGAGTCACACTGGTCTCAGATTCAAGTCATTTGGGAAATGTCATTTTGGACTTGGTTATTCAAGGTTCTCAGCACATAGCGGTTGTTTCTCCACCAGCTGCTCATGGTATCAAAGGCCCATGAAGTGCATTTCTGTTCATCTCATGGTGAAGGTGGGCCAGGAGTGCAGTTACGGGCTGGGCACACAGAAGTTGGAACGGCCCTTTGTGATGGGCTCCCAGGCAGGGCAGTGCTGACTCTCCTGGCAGGACACATTGCTCTGGGCCCTCTCTGCTGTTGGTTCCATGTGGTTTCCATCCCAGTCTCCTTTGCTTCCTCCTCACAGTAGCTGTGTGGCTTGGCGAGTTGCAGTGGCAGCTCTGCACATGACTGGGGGATGCAGGGTTGGAGGGCTGGGTCCTGCCCCACCCGGTTCCCTGGCCGGCTCCTCACGGAGGCGCAAGCCACAGGGTGCCTGGGGACTGTGGTCAGGGTGGCCTGTGGAAGCCAGTCTGAGGCCACCAGCCTTCATTCACGGTCTGGGAAAGATGGTTCAGGAAGCTTGAGTCCTGTAGCCAGCAATGTAAACCCTGCGTATCCACGTGTTAGGTGCCAGGAGACGCCCTTCTTTCCTCTCTCCCTTCCTTCTCCTTCCTGGAGCCTCTTGGACTGTCCAGTTCCAGGAACTGCTCTGAGGCTTTCTTGGGCATTGGGAGCACAACCTCACTGAAGTACTTACTAAATAAGGAGGACAAGGCTTCGTTTTGCTCCGAGTCTTCCAAAGAACAAGTGTGCCTCCTCCGTCTCTCGTATACAGGCGTATGGGAACACGTGCACACATGCACGTGCATACACGCTCCTAGGCACACACTGACCTACATGGATACACTCAGGGACATATGGAGCCCCTCCTGGTCTGCATGTCATGGAGCATTCCGGAGGGTCACATGGTGGGCCTGGCTGCTGCAGTTGGCTGCTGATGGGACAGAAGACCTGCTTGGCCACCCCCGTAGCTTTCGCTTGGCCCAGCTGTGATTCGTGTGTGGCGTCTCTGAGGGGACAACACCCAGGTTTCCCTTCACAGGCCTGTGATCCTGGCAGTCTGCCAAGCCCCTGGGAGCATCTTGGCAATACAGTATACCAGGGCATCTTAATCAAGATTTTATGAAAGGAGGTGAACCGGCATGTGGGCATTCGGTATGCCAGTGGTTGCGGTCATGGGATGCAGCGGCATCACATGAACTCTCACTTGCATACAAAGCTTGCCCTGTGCAAGGCTGGCTGTGGAAAGTTTAGTCCCAGACTCCAGTGGGCCTCTTCCTGGCTCTGTCCTGCTGTCCCCAACTGGGTAGACAGATCCATGTGTCTGGACACCTCCCCCACCGTCAGCCGAAGGAATCCTCCATTTTCAGGTTTCATGTCCTGTGAAAACGTACACAT